GGCGCTGCAAGCGCAAGCCAACGCTGGGCCAGTGATTCCGTGGGGATCGAGGAACCCATCTGAGGCGCGAAAAATGGATTTCGAAGAATGACCCATGTAGATCCCAAGGATCGGTCTCACGGGTGTGGTGCGCGACTTCTTCGCGAAGCTCCAGGAGCCTGTTGTCGACTCGTGTTTGATTGGGTTCAGGCTGGCCCTATGGAAAGGGAAAGGTCAGGCCGCTAGGGAAAGCGCAGGAACCTCTCCCCATCTCTCTTCCCTTTCTGCCTTTTTCGAGTGAGAATCATCCAGTGACCAGGGTGACCATCTTCTTTGTAGAGCTATTGGAGGTGGTCATTCACTTCTCGTGGGTCCATCCAAAGCAGTCCACTTTTTTCAACCGGGATCCGTCTCTCTTGTAGGGGAAGCATCCACTGATCCACCAGGTTGAATCCGAGGTGAAGCTTTGCCATATTTTGGCGGATTCCTTGGATGAGGTGAGAGGTCGGCCTTGGTTTTCCGGGTCCTCTTAAGGCCATTCAACGGAGCAAGTAAGGGAAGGACCCCCCCCCCAATCAACTGGCTGCAATCTTCCTGCGGTTGGCTTCCCCCCAATCAACTGGCTGCAATCTTCCTGCGGTTGGTTTGCCCCCAATCAACTGGATGTAATCTTCCTGCGGTTGGTTTCACCCCAATCAACTGGCTGCAATCTTCCTGTGGTTGGTTTCACCCCAATCAACTGGCTGTAATCTTCCTGTGGTCGGTTTCCCCCCAATCAACTGGCTGCAATCTTCCTGTGGTTGGTTTCCCCCCAATCAACTGGCTGCAATCTTCCTGTGGTCGGTTTCCCCCCAATCAACTGGTTTCCCCCCAATCAACTGGCTGTAATCTTCCTGCGGTTGGTTTCCCCCCAATCAACTGGCGGAAATCTTCCTGTGGTTGGTTTCCCCCCAAGCAACTGGCGGCAATCTTCCTGTGGTTGGTTTCCCCCCAATCAACTGGCTGCAATCTTCCTGCGGTTGGTTTCCCCCCACGCAACTTGGCTGCAATTTTCCTGCGGTTGGTTTCCCCCCAATCAACTGGCTGCAATCTTCCTGCGGTTGGTTTCCCCCCAATCAACTGGCTGTAATCTTCCTGCGGTTGGTTTCACCCCAATCAACTGGCTGTAATCTTCCTGCGGTTGGTTTCCCCCCACGCAACTTGGCCGCAATCTTCCTGAGGTTGGTTTCCCCCCAATCAACTGGCTGCAATCTTCTTGTGGTTGGTTTCCCCCCAAGCAACTGGCTGCAATCTTCCTGTGGTCGGTTTCCCCCCAATCAACTGGCTGCAATCTTGCTGCGGTTGGTTTCCCCCCAATCAACTGGCTGTAATCTTCCTGTGGTTGGTTTCCCCCCAATCAACTGGCTGTAATCTTCCTGCGAAAAGCAAGCGACAAGTGAGGACATGTCCCGACCAGGCGAGCTATCTAGGTTCGTTTTTCAGAGTATGTTCCTCCTGATCTTGGTGATTTTAGCCGTCCGGTTGCTTAGGTTTTTCTGTTTAGTGGTTGGGTTTCCATTTAACCGACAGCAGGGGATCTAAAGGTTTTGGCTGTTAGCAGGGGATCTGAAAACGGACAGCCCAGAGATGAGTCCGAAGCTTGGCTCATGCGTGTGATGTGTATGGTCGACATCTCCCATGGCGAGTTCTTAAGGTATTTTCCAGGGAGTCATAGACCAATGCACCCAGGCAACAGTAGATCCAACAATTGGATGCCGCACATGGTACATTCCACCATTTGTTAACGCATGTCTTTCACTTTATTTCATGCTGTTCATTATGCCGCTTGGTTCATTTGGAGTATATGCACCTCAAACGTGCTTGGTGGACATGAACCCACACCTAAATGGGGTCCAGAAAGTCCCTAGTCGATCATCATTCCCACGTGTTTCTTAGTTCCCCCCCCCCAATCCCTGCTCTTCCCTAGTCCTCGGTTGGCTTGCTGGCTTTAGACAACCGTTGCCAGGTTCCTAAGGGAGGCCACAAGAATCCCCCCCCCCCCCCCCTATGCGTTACGTTCAAACTTGCGGCGAAATGAGGTCGTAAGAGTGGGGGGGGGGAGGTTCTTTTAGCTTCCTTTGGCTTAACTTTTCCTCAACAGCAGGGTCTTGAAAGACGGCTGTTGATGGGGGGGGGGGTTGGTCTGGGGTCCCTAAATGTAGTTCTTGCTTTCAGCCATCATACCCCAGTGCATACTTGGATGTTCAATTTGAGCAAGTCTGTTGTGTCGATTGTCAGGGGACTACCCCCGCCCCCGATAGCCACGGGAAGCTGACACGAGGGCCATGTCCTGAGCCTTAGCGCTCGTAGCGCTCAGGAGGCCATGCAGCAGGGCACGCTGAACAAGGCGTAGGAAAGCATCCGCCCGGTCTGAGCGCCAGGTGGGGGTCTCATGGGAGGGCGGGATGGGGGGACGTGGTCTGAGCGCCACGGCTGGTTGGGTTGGGTTGGGGTGGGTTGGGGGTGGGGGGTGGGGTTGGGGCTGGTTAGGTCGGGTTGGGGTTGGGGGTTGGGTTGGCTGTCAGCAGCCTCGTTGTATCCTGCAACGGGCTCCAGTGAAGCAGAAGAGCGTACAGGCCCCACAGATCCTGAAAGGCTTGTGAGCCGGCGAAGTGAGAAGCCTGGGTAGCTGGACGAGATTATTCAAAGCAGAGGGTCAGGCGCAACTTGATATCTGATAGCTTCTGTTTGGGACATCCAACCATGCCCGGCCCAACACTTTGCGGAGACTGCTTGTGCTTGAACAGCAAGAACCCGGGGCATCGAAAGCGAGTAAGGCGGTGCATGCAATCTTCAGATCGCCTTTGCCGGTCTGACCGAACAAGAGTCGCGTGCGCGTTTGAAGCGCTTTCAGGTCCTTGTGTCGCGCAGAACTTTTGAACTCTTTTCTTGTGGAGGGTAAATGGGAAACCCCTCCTGAACCACCAAACCACCAGTCCAAACCACCAATGAGAGGGAAGCTGATAGAAACCGTGCAAAGTCGCCTGCTTCGCGACCGGTGTGAACATAGTGCAAATGGCGAGCGCACGAACAGCCAGCGGCGCTCGCTCGCGCGGCAGAACAGGTGATCAAGAGTGCCCTCTCGCGCGGCCTGCGCGGCTGATCATGTTCAGCCCTGAGCCGACATGGCAACTCGTGCTCCATTTCTCTTTGCCCAAACCAGGTGGAGACCGTCTCTTTCCCCTTTGCCTGGACTAGATTGACTATGATGGCAACCTTGCCCAGTTGGACCCAACGCAAGCCTCTTGACGTCCTTTCGCAAAGGTCAGGCGCAACAGATTGCATGCGCACGACCCCGTCCGTCTGATCGAAACCTCCTCCGTGCAGCAGAGCACCTGACGCCACAAGTTGAGGGCATCGAACGCCTGTAACACAAACTCTGGGCGAAGACATGGGCAGATTTATCTTCAAGGCAAATAGGTCCTGGGGCGTGTTTGCGAAGGCGGCGAAGTCAGCAAAGACTTAAAGAGTCGTTTCTTCATTCCGAGGGCAGTGTCCTTCCCTATGCCCAATGTTGGACACGGCATGTAGGCATCCTGGGAGCCAAGGTAGGATTCAAAGGTTTTCAGCGTCCAGGATCACACCGGTCCCAGACTGAGAGCTGATTTCCGGGCCACAGAGAGCGCTTCCCTCTGGCTTTCTGCTGAACGCTTCAACACGGAGTGCCTGCCCGTAAAGCGACGGCTTGTGCGAAAGTGCTTGCGTCTAAATGTTCTTAATGGCATTGGTTTTCTCGTGTCGGTCGGGCTTTCTTGCCAAACATTCCAGCCAATGGCCCATGCAAGCGATAGTAGAGGATGTCACATAATGCCTCTCAAGCATGGCCATAATTTCGTTGACAGGGCTGAGGTGTTGGCCCTGGGCCGCTCCAAGCAGCTGTTCGCAGCCAAGAGGTCCGCAGTGGCCTTGCCATTGACACACCCGAGCCCGTTGGGCGATCCCCTTGAGCCCACCTTGAAGTTCGTGCGCCGCTCAATGGCTTTCCGGCGAGAAGCTCAGGCACTCCTTGGTTACCATGACTTCTCGCCGCGAGGCGTTTGGGGTTGTTGAGTTCGACACGTGGGGCGGCTCTTGGCCACGGAGCCTGTTGCTTGCGCCCCCCAGTTTTTGCCAGACGGAAGGGAGTGTTGTTGGCCGTTTGCACACAAGCATGGCTGCTCATGCAGCGCAGAACTTGGCAGTGCAGGAGTAGCTTGCATGTTGACGAAAGCAAGCTGAAAACAACAACCTTTCAATGATGCCAATCGCTTCGCAAGACTTGCCGTGTGCTCCATTGCATGCGTTCGTGTCAGAAACTGCAGAGTTTGATTAGAGCGTGGCTTCCTGCTTTTGGGGTTGACTGATGCTCCACTGTGTCGTGACATGTTCGGCTCCTCACTTGCTGTAAGAAGACGGAGCGTCTGATCACACCTTGTGTGGGTTGGCCGCCACATAGTTTTCGTGCTTTCAAAGAAGGTGCCTATGGGCGACGGAAGCTTTGTCTCCGAAGCGTGCGGAAGGCGTGGCGTGAGGTGTTCCTTTCCAAAACCTGTCGTGAACCTTTTAGTCCCCGCTTCCGGGTAGGCGCTGGCTCGATTGCTCGAGGTGTTCAAAGGTTCGCCAATTGCAAAAGCGCTGTGCCGCATGTGCGTAAGTGCATCGCAAGGGCGGCAGCGGGTGATGCCCTGTTGTGTTGTGCGTGACTGGCTATGCTCGAACGAAGCAGAGGAATGTTTAGGCCCAGCGCATTTGTGAAGCGCGGAGCAGACATAATAGAGCCCCAAGACCTTCCCAAGTGCCCTGCGCAGCGACATCCAAGATGTGGCGCCGGGTGTTGCTTTGCGCAGTGCGCAGTGCCTGGAGCCTTTCGGACGCGTTGCGGAGCATGTCCTCGGATCTCGGCTGAGCGCGCGTGCATTCGACGCCTTGCGGGGCATTTGCTTCGGGCAGCCGGCAGCGCAGACGACCGGTGGTCTTTGCAACTTTGCGCGGCGCTCAAGCACTCAAGGCAGGCGTTGGCGGCGCCTTCGCCGTGGCAGCACCTGGATGCGGCGCGTTGAGCCGCAGAGGACTGCAGGGTAGTTCCTTGGTCCTGGTTGAGCTGGCAGCACACAATTCAGGAGCTGAGCTGTGCGGACTTGCCATAGCGCACGGCCCCGAACGTAATTTCTTGACACAAAGGCAGACGCTGGCAGAGTGTTGCTGGTAGCATCCCAGATGCGTTGCGCGTGCATCTTTACACGAACATGTGCATTTCCTTGAAGAAAGTCTAGATGTTGAAAGAGCTTCACGGGCATCCCGGACACATTCCGGCTGCGGCAGCCGCCCACAACGGCGCACACGCAGGTATGACCTCGGCTGATGGACTCAGTTGTGTTGCTTTGCATTTGCGCTGGCGTGGCAGGGCCAAAGATGCGTTGCCAGTTGGCGCGCAGGGGCCCGCCCTACACGCCGCAGCGCAGTACTAGCGCTTGTTCGCACCCCCCAGGTTGGACTAGGTGGAACTTGCCCTGGCTCGGGGCAACTTCCAGATGGCAGCTTGGTGCCGAGAACACCGCGTGCGGCGCAGTCTTTCTTTGCCAATCCTTGCAGTTGTTTTTTGTCATTGGCCACACCTTTTGCACGCGGAGCAGTTTTGAGACCAAGCAAATGTGGCTTAAACAAAAGTGCAATTTTCGTGCGCAGGTGGGAAGGTGCAACACTCGCGTTTAGCACGGCTGGGTACGCAAGCAGATAGGCGAGTTGAGTACGACGTGCGGCTACAGCTGGGCACGGCCAGCTGTAGCTCTTGGCCTGGGTGCTGCACGAGCGGGAAGATGGAAATGATGGGAGTGCCGAGCAGCGGGGCGCAGGCGCACGCTCAGGGCAGGAAAGGCGTGGGGGAATGGGACCGGACGCCGTAGGTGTGTGCCTGACCAGCTCATTGGAGACCACCCTGACCTCAATTCCACAGTCGCGAAGACCTAAGATCTCGACCTTATAAGATCGAAGCCCGAAACCAAACCTACAGCAACCCGAGACGTTCGATGCCGGTCATGTTTGTGGGCCGATTTGCCAGCGCGGCTTGATAGCTTCCGTGTACACAGGATCCGCGTGAGACATCCAACATTTCTTCAGCCATGCGCGGGCATCGAACTGCCCATTTCCGTCAACGGTAGTGGCAAAACATGTTTAGCGCCTCTCAGACGCGTTGGCTGCGAGAGCAACTACTGTAGTAGCGCTTTGTTTCTCTTTCCCCCTTCCTGTGTGGTTAGAAAGTGCCAAGGATTATATTTGCCAACTTGGCCCTGCGCAGTCTGTGAACCTCACAGAGACAGCTGGCAGCCTGACGTGATGTTGCCTGCTTCCGACTCTGCCTGACAAGGCTTCAGAAGCAATGATGCACAGATCTCCGCGAGAAGGGTGTGCTAAGAAGAGCCGACGTGACATGTAGAAAAAGGGGGCATTTGGCAGAAGCATTGGCTTGGCAACGTTGGGAGGAAGAGGGCAAGGCTTGGAAGGGTGGGCTATTTTTGGTATTGACGGTTGGCGTTTGAAAGCTGATTATGCTTTCTGTGCTTGATCTAATCGTTGCATGCTTGGAAGGATTCGTCTTTGCTTTTAATCATTTTGCCAGGAAAGACTTGCTGGCTCGCAGCCGGGAGTCAGGACATGCCCGCTCTAAGCCATCCCTTTGGTTGATCCCGAACGGTTCATTCCCAAACCAGGTTGATTCCTTCCGGAGAATTACCAAGAAATCGAAGGCTCTGGTGGGTCAAGAAGCGCATAATTACTATGTACATTGTGTGTGTGCGTGTGTGTGTGTGCGTGTGTGTGAATGGTAGCTTCCCGGTCACGGCTTCCGGTCCCGCGAAGCCATTTCGCGGAGCCCGGTGACATTGACACAGGCGAAGCCACTTTGTGAAGCGTGGGAGTAGCATGCCAAAGGTTGATGTTTAGAGTCACTTTCAGATGACAAGACCACAGGAAGATTACAGTCAGACTGCCGGAAGATTATGGATTTTTCTGGAAACGATGGGGCGAAGCCTCCGCAAAGCCTCCGCGAAGCCTTTGAGGCCCAGCCATGTCCCCTAGTCCTGAATCCGCCTTTCATCGCCCCCTTTCGCATAGACTCAACTTGCTTCAACCACATGAGAGCGCAAGCGTCATCGTCCGCGAAGCCCAGCCAAGCCACTCCGCAAAGCCACAGTCTTGCCGCGAAGCCTCGCAACCCGTCGCGTAGCCCGCCCAGCAGTGTAAAAGCCCTGAACCTCGAAAAAAAAAGCAATGCTCATGTATTTTGAGGAATGGAGCTGTGCAAATGAGTGATTCGTTGTGGCGCACATGCATGTAGAACTGACAAGCCAGGTGACAAATGCACGCTGTTTGTGCAGCTGTGTGTTTTAGTGTTGATGATTGCGGCCTTTGGCCCAGTCAGATGGTGATGCATACGCTCGCGTGTGATCGGAAAGAGGATTTACTTGAACTGCGGTGTTCGAATTGATCCTGTTGGGTGCACTTCTTGCTGCTAGTTTTCCACAAGCCTCCCGGCAAGGCCAGCTTGGTCCCACTGATTGCCTGTAGGGCTTGCGACGCTCGCTGCCTTTGGCTTGACTGGTCTCAGGGCGGTCAGTGGCTTTGTGTGCGCATAGTTGGGGGACAAGGGCTGTTGTGAATTGCTTTCCGCTCGCTTGTCAAGTTGGCAGGCGGTGCTGCCGGCCACAGAGCAGTGCGTCCAAAACTAGGTTATTCGCGAGAGAGAAGCTAATCCAACAGTGAAAAATTCAACTAGTTGTGTTTGTGGGTGTCGTCTCTGTGTTTGGCTACTGTGTCGCGCGTGCGTTTGGTTGTCCTCCTTCTGTTTGGGGTCTTGCGGTAAGGCTTGCAAGGCTTGCGTGCTGATGTGTGTTGGAGGCGGTTGCTTCTGTACTTCGCAAGTTTTTGCGGTCTATTTTCAATCCCTTTGAGCTCACAGCCTCGGCTTTTGGTTTGTCATCAACTTGGCTGCAGGCTGCTGATAAACTATTGGGCCACACCTGTTGCGTGTTTTCCCTCGGCTGGAAATTGCATCTTAGATCCCCAGTACTTGGTCTAAAACTGCCAACGGCAAATTCAGTTTTGCAAATACAAGATGTTAGTTTCCAGCACTCATCTTAGTGTTGGCAAAATTAGATCTAGTGTTGCCAAGACTTAGCCTCGAAACAACAGTGCTTAGCAGAGCATGGCCAATGCTACGTTTACTGCTCAGATTTAATGATTTAATCTTAGTATTTCATTTTCCAAGTATTCTATTTTAGGATTGCCTAGATCTAAGGCCTTTAGCCTGTGAGCTGGCAAGGGCTTTGGTGAATATTTTTGGAAAACGCGCCCAGCGCTTGCTGTTCAACATGACCCTGCAGCAGTCAGGTTATATAAGCTGGGAAAATCAGATCAGGACGACACTTAAACCTCTGTGCCGTTGAACTGCTTTAAATGGTTTGATTGTTGTTATGGAAACGGTGTCGCAACTTAGGATCCTGCGGCCAAGATGCAGGAGTTGTTCTTTCATGAGCTTGATGTTTTTTAAAAAAATCAGGATTTCCAACTTCAGATGAGTGCCACTCGTCACATGTACGTCTCGCCTTCAGAGCCAATTGCATGTTTGACACACACACACAACACGCCAAAGGTACAACATTGCGCAGAACTTGTCAAAACAATATCCACCCCATATCCATGAACGGGCTCCCTCTTTTTTTCACCCTCCGAACTTGTTTTTGTTTAACCCTTCCTTTTTTTTCAACCCTCAAACCCTGCTTGGGAACCGTCTGCGGGAACCTTGTTTCTCCAACCCTGAGAAATCCTTTCTTTTCAGCCCCTCACCTTGTTTTTTTCACCCTCTGCCTTGTTTTTTTTCACCCGCGAGCTTGCTTGTTTCACCCCCAACCTTGTTTTCCTCACCCTAAACCCAAGGCAACCCAAGCGCGCCCCGCACCCAACCCAACCCAAACCAACCCTAGGCCCGCCCTAAGCCAAATGTTGCCAACCCTCCATCTCTCTAAATCAATCTCAAACCAGCCAAACACGCCCAACCCACCCCAAACCCACCCTACACTAAATCACGCTAAATGAGCCCCAAGCAAACCAGAACTTCTCTTGTCCAACCCTAAACCCACCCCAAGCCAAGCTACACCCACCCTACACCACCACAGACCTACTCGAAACCACCCTAAAGCACACATACCCCACCCGTAACTGATCCCAAGCCAACCCTAAACCAACCCACCTAAACCCCAATCCCACCCTAATCTAGCCTGAATGCGACCCTAAGCCCAACCTAAACCAACCCTGAACAGACCCACTGACCCAAAACCAACCCTCAACCCTAAACGACCCTAAGCCAACCCTAAAACCCACTCTAAACCCAGCTAAAACCAATCCCGAACCAGCCCGAAAACCAACCTTGGACTCAAGCCCAGCGAAAACCAACCAACCTTGCGCCCACCCTAAACTCACCCAAAAATCACGCTAAACCCACACTAAACTCAAACACCAACCTGACCCTAACCAACCCTGAGCCACTCCTAACCCTGTACCAACCATGAACCCGCCCTGATCCAACTCTAAGCGCACCCTGCGACTCTAAGCTGAGCTTGACCCAATCTTGAATCCAGTGTAGCCAACCTAGGCCAACCGCAAAACCAATCCACATCCAAGCCCAAACCAACCCCAAACCCCGCCCGAAACCATCCCAGACTAACCAACCCAAAACAAACGACACGATACCCTTAAAAACCCTAAGCCCACCTGAAATCAAGCCACCCCAAATCAACCCTAAGCCACCCTTGAGCCCCAAGCCTCCCAGAGCGCAACCCCAACGCCAGCCTAGACACAAACCGCAAACCCGCCCAACCAACCCTACACCAACCCTGAGCCCCCACCTCAAACGGATTCTAGGCCAATGTAAATCCAACCTTAATCCCAACCCTGACCTCATTCTAAATCCACCTTTGACCAACCCTAAATCATCCTAAGCCAACCCTCAACCAATCATAAACCCACTAGACCCACCCACCATATCTCAGCGCAGACCTGCTTGAAACCAACCTTAAACTTAAACCGACCACAAACTTGCCCTTCCCATCCCAAACCTAAACCCACCCTCAACAAATCCTACCCCGCATCTAAACCCTTCCCACCTAATCCCACCCTAAACTAGCCTTGAATCCGAGGTCGCCCAACCTAAACCAACACAAAACCGACCCTAAACAAAACCGTGAATCCACCCTTCCCAGTCGAAACCAACCCTAAACCCACCTACCCCCCCCTGCCCGAACCCACCCTAAAGCAACCCTAAATCCAAAACCACTCCTAAACCAACCCAACCCTAAACCGTTGCGTAGTGCAGTTGCCGCAGGCCTCGGCCACA